AAATGCACTTTAATGGTCAAATCAGCTGCATTTCACCTGGGAAGCGCAGTGAAATGCAGCTGATTTGAAGTTTGCTTCAGGAGTTCCGGAGCGAGACGAAGGTGACTTGGTATGGCAATCCAAATGTCTCATTAATAGCCACTTTTACCTATTAATGAGATACTTGGCTTGCCATATTAGTCAAGGGCCCTCTAGTGGCTGAAAATGGTAATGTTCAATATTTTCCTTATAATGAATGAAATCGTCAGATCTCAGCCAAAAATTGGATTATAAATGCTTTGGCGTAAAAGTCACAGAGTATGCAAATTAGGCAAAAAGGTGCGACTTATACTCCGGAAAATACGGCATCCGAGGATATGCTGTGAATTAATTCAACCTTTGTTTAGACAGGTTAATCCCACTGAGCCTCGGGGATTCATTTACAAGAGAGACCTGATTTCTTAACAAAGAATGATGACAACAGTGAATAACAACGACAACAATAGACGGTCACAAAAGAGGCATACAGAATTTAATTTATTTTTTTTAACAAATCAAAACAAAATAGCAACCAAAAGCACAGTCAAAAGGAAAAGTAGCGAAAAAAAGAAAAAGAAAAAAAAAAGCTAGATTATAATGCGGTGTACAAACCGGATTCCAAAAAAGTTGGGACACTAAACAAATTGTGAATAAAAACTGAATGCAATGATGTGGAGATGGCAAATGTCAATATTTTATTTGTAATATAACATAGATGACAGATCAAAAGTTTAATCTGAGTAAATGTAACATTTTAAAGGAAAAATATGTTGATTCAAAATTTCAGTGTCAACAAATTCCAAAAAAGTTGGGACAAGTAGCAATAAGTGGCTGGAAAAAGGAAATTGAGCATATAACAAACAGCTGGAAGACCAATTAACACTAATTAGGTCAATTGACAACATGATTGGATATAAAAAGAGCTTCTCAGTGTGTCAGTGTCTCTCAGAAGCCAAGATGGTAAGAGGATCACCAATTCCACCATTGTTGCACAGAAAGATAGTGCAGCAATACCAGAATGGTGTTACCCAGCGTAAAATAGCAAAGACTTTTAAGTTATCATCATCAACCGTGCATAACATCATCAAAAGATTCAGAGAATCTGGAACAATCGCTGTGCATAAGGGTCAAGGCCGTAAAACTCTAGTGGATGCTCGTGATCTCCAGGCCCTTAAACGTCACTGCACCTCAAACAGGAATGCCACTGTCAAGGAAATAACAGAATGGGCTCAGGAATACTTCCAGAAAGCATCGTCAGTGAACATAATCCACCGTGCCATCCGCCGTTGCCAGCTGAAACTCTACAGCGCAAAGAGGAAGCCATTTCTAAGCAAGCTCCACAAGCTCAGACGTTTGCACTGGGCCAGGGGTCATTTAAAATGGAGTGTGGCAAAATGGAAGACTGTTCTGTGGTCAGATGAGTCACGATTTGAAGTTCTTTATGGAACACTGGGACGCCATGTCATCCGGACCAGAGAGGACAAGGATAGCCCAAGTTGTTATCAACGCTCCGTTCAGAAGCCTGCATCACTGATGGTATGGGGTTGCATGAGCGCTTGTGGCATGGGCAGCTTGCATGTCTGGAAAGGCACCATTAATGCAGAGAACTATGTTCAGGTTCTAGAACAACATATGCTCCCATCTAGACGTCATCTCTTTCAGGGAAGACCCTGCATTTTTCAACACGATAATGCCAGACCACATTCTGCAGCAATCACAACATCATGGCTACGTAGGAGAAGGATCCGGGTACTGAAATGGCCAGCCTGCAGTCCAGATCTTTCACCTATAGAGAACATTTGGTGCATCATAATGAGGAAGGTGCGACAAAGAAGGCCCAAGACGATTGAACAGTTAGAGGCCTGTATTAGACATGAATGGGAGAGCATTCCTATTTCTAAACTTGAGAAACTGGTCTCCTCTGTCCCCAGACGTCTGTTGAGTGTTGTAAGAAGAAGGGGGGATGCCACACAGTGGTAAAAATGGACTTGTCCCAACTTTTTTGGGATTTGTTGACGCCATGAAATTTGGAAACAACAGATTTTTCCCTTAAAATGATTCATTCTCTCAGTTTAAACTTTTGATCTGTGATTTGTGTTCTATTCTGAATAAAATATTAGATGTTGGCACCTCCACATCATTGCATTCAGTTTTTATTCACAATTTGTTTAGTGTCCCAACTTTTTTGGAATCCAGTTTGTATTATATTGTGTCTGTGACCCCCACAACATGAAAAGAAAGAAGCGAGTAAAAGATAATGGATGGATGTTCTGTCTGCTAGCTCTCAGAATATGTGTTGATTAGTCTCAGCTAACGCATCAGATTTCAGGTCAGTATCTAGTTGTGGTCAGCTCTGTGTTTTTAGGGTCAGTTAACTATGGCAGACTCCAAAATTTGATCAGTTGTAAGTTCGATAGTTACTTTTTGCAAGTTTCATTAAAGAGATCTCGGACTAGTTGGAATAATAGACTTTATTTGATAAGCAATCCCTTCAGCTATAAAACCATGAAAGTTAAAAAACTGTAGGCTGTTTAGTTTTTATGATTTGTAAAAAAGATTAATGACACGTGAACGTGACCGTTTTATTCATGTCGCAATGCACTCTGGGTAAATGATGTAGACAGGTTGCTCCGGTTCATTCAGCTCGAATGTAATTTTAAATGTTATCTGACCTTCAGCTCTTTTAGCTGAACCGGAGCATGTTGACAAGAGAGGAGAATGGAGAAAAGACTCAGCTTTCATTTTATGACATTTGTTGATTCATGCTCAATCAAGGCAGAAAAATCAAACAAAGTTAAGTCAGGTCCTCTGGACAGATTCTTCTTATTGAAACGTTTCATTTTTTATCCAAAAGACTTCTTCAGTCTGAGGAGCTGCAACAAACTCAGTCTTACCTTCTCCCAGTGGATCAACTAGTTTGCTGGAGACATCCAAAACTAGTCAAGTTCTCTGTCTAAGGAAGCAGCAGACTCGTTGAATCTTCACCTCGTCACAGTCTTCCATCCTGAGCAAGCACAAAGGAGACAGTGGAAAGGAAAAACTCCCTTTTAAAAGAAGAAACCTCCAGCAGAACCAGGCTCAGGACAAGCGGCCATCTGCTTTGACCGGCTGGTTGAGAGGACAGGAAGGAGAGACAGACGAACAAAGAATGGCAGGTTCAGATGTAGGTGCAGGTGTACCTGAAAGACAAAAACACATGAAGAAGATCGTCATCAGGCCAGGACTCTGCGGTCTACACTCATCTCCAGGCCAGCGGTCACTCTTTCAGGGATGAAGATGTTCACATCCTGGACAGAGAGGAACGATGGTTTGAGAGAGGAGTAAAGGAGGCCATCTTTGTGAAAAGAAATCGTCCATCATTAAAAAGGGGTGGAGGCCTCCGGGTTCAACTGTCCCCCTCTTACAATTAATGTTGCCAAGTCTGCTTATTATAAGTGACTTTGGGCTTGTTTTATCTAAAGTCACTTGTAAATCTTGAGAGTCGTGGGTTGTGGTTTTTTGGGCTTGTTTTGAACGTGAAGTTGTTTATTTGGGCTTGACTTTCTTTCCAAGTGAAACTAGTTGATCATCTACCAGCTCCACACAATAAAGCAAAAGATGAGTGGTAGTAGGTGGTTTATCCTTCCACTCCCCCGTTTCAGGTTTATCTCTCCTGCCCAAACTGGCGAGGCGACAGTCTCACACCCAAACACTCATACTGTGGCCGACCCCTAGGGGCTCCACTCACACGTAGATGTCAGGATGTTTTGTTTTTAAAACTATGAAGAACAAATACAATTTATATATTTGTTACATATGCAAAATGTATTTTTTTATCAGAGCTTAAAAGTATGTTCTTTTTCAACCTTTATTTAGACAGGAATAGAGAAATAGCATGTTATTCAAAGTGTTTAGCATCATTTTGCTGTTGTTTATGTGTAATGCCGTAATAAATATGTTTATACTATTTAAAAACAGCCTGTTTTACACAATGTAGTGGGTTGCCAGTTGGGCTTGTTTTCATAGAGCTGGTTGTTTGTTTCTGTCACGAGATCTGGCAACACTGCTGTTATTGCTAGTATCACTCAGCCCTCTGTGAACAGCTAGCAGCATAATCCCCTTGGCTTTTGTTCTTTTGTTGAATGTATATTGATAACTGTCTTGTAATGTTTTACTGTTAATTATTTAATTATTATTTTTTAAACAGCAAGCAGCCATCAGGTCACTAATGATTAGTCGTTAGGCTGATGGTCCTCCTTTATCATGTGAACAGCTGGTTCTGGATGTCAACAACAAACTGGTTGATCCACTGGGAGAAGGTGCTATTTATAAGACTGAGTTTGTTGCAGCTCCTCAGACTGAAGGAGTCTTTGGATAAAAAGAAGAAATGTTTCAACAAGACGAATCTGTCCAGAGGACCTGACTTTAGTTAGATATACGACATTTGCTTTAGAGCTAATACATATGACGTTAGCTCCACAGCTAATGTATGCCTATATTTATAGCGTTAGCTCCAGAGCTAATAAATTAAACTTCAGAAGTTGACCACGTTTGATTGTTTTGACCTATATATTGTTCATGAGGACTAATGCAAAATATAACTTGTCACATTGCAACTTTTTTTCTTGACTCGTTTTAGTTGTCACTACAATCGATGTACGCCATTGTCCCAGAATGCAATGCGCTGACAAAATAATGGTGACGCCCTTGGGTGAAAAACGTAACAAACATAACTCACTTTTTAAATCAAGATTTTCACGTCACAACTTTTTATAGAAAAAAGAAATATCAACATTGTAAGGCCAATATGTGCAAGCAGTCAGAGATCCCTTCAAAATTCACAAGATATTTTGCTAACAGCATTTCCATCCGTCTTTGCCGTTCACTGGTGGGCAATGTTTATTTCTTTTTCAGTCACAAACCTTTGAACTGGGCCCTGAAGTTTTTGAGTTTGGCCCTGCTGTGTGCACATTTTGTGTTCTTCCACAGAGAGGAGACGGAGGATGGATTGGTTCCACTGCAACCAGTGTTTCAGGAAGAGCGGGTCAAAGTTCGCTGTGTCCAGCTGCGGCCACATCTGCTGTGAAGCTTGCATTAAACCAAGTGAGACGGGTTTTATTCTGAGTCCACAACGTTAGCTTGTTTCATTGTAACCGAACCTATGTACTGGTGTGTCCATCAGAGCAGTGCAGCGTGTGCGGGGCGAGCTGCAGCTTCCTGCCCATCACTGACGAGGTTCGGTCCACTCCTGTCCTCAGCACAAACCATCAGTGTTCAGGTTTCATTCACGAGCTTTCTGTTTCAGATGAAGCCGCAGGAAAAAGTGTTTTTCAAGGATCCTGTAAAACTCATTCAGTCCAGGATGGCGCACTTATCCCAGGTCTGCTTCGTCTCTTCCAGCGCCCCGATGCTTCTGCATTTTATAACCATTAAATCTTAATCTACTTATCAATTTGCCGTTTTCTCATTTGGGAGGAAAACACTCAACAGTGACCTTCACGCTCCCCAGATCGCAGTTTTTCAGCGGTCTCAGAAGGATGGAGTCATAGCTCACCTGAGGAACAAGTCATGTGAGCTGGAGAGGCGTCTAAAGGAAGTCAGCGAGCAAGGCTACAGGTGACATTAACCTCCGCTGTCACTGGGCTGGAGACACCGAAAGTCCTTTTAATTCCCACCTCTCTCGTCCGAAGGCAAATGTCTGAGCTGAAAAGAGAAAACGCAGAGTTAAAAAAGCAGCTGACGGAGCTGAAGAGAGAAACTGCGGAGTTAAAGAAGCCCCTCTCTCAGAGGAGGGTGCGTGTTTAAAAATCATCACGATGAGTCTCGTGTGAATTTTACATCCTAACGCAGCCTCCCTGTGCCACAGGTTTCTCCGGGACATTTTCAAACTGCTGGGTAAGCCTCTTTATATGCAAGATACATGAAGTCCCAACTGTTCAATAATACTTGTGACTGTCAGGACTCAGAGGGTGTCGCTGCCGGTGGCCGTTACCTCACCAGGTAACCTGTCATTTTTTAACACTTTGTCAACTTTATATCAAATAAATGAATTTTTATTTTGTTTTAATCAGTTACGCCTCGATCAAGAACTGTGAGGTATGCCCCATCTTGTCGTCTTCCAGATTTATTATCATCTCCATTTCCTATAACAAATGTTCTGTGTTGCAGTCACGGAGGCTCAGCGGAGTCCCAGAGGTGGTCCAGAGACAGAGCTCTTTCTCTCACTGTAAGTAGATTAGTTTAACATTTAATCTGAATCTTTTCATCCAAAAGACTTCATCAGTCTGAGGAGCCACAACAAACCACCTGACTGTTGGATTTACCTGGATTACAGAGCATGAACTTCTGAGTTAGTGTTTTGATTTGGTTTTGTCAGACTCCTGGATCGGTGGCCTCCATTTCCAGCCTCAGCTCTCTTCTTGAACACAGTGAGTCGACTCCGACGAGCCACACGCTGCACTACATCAAGTTCACACTAAATCTAGTTTTTATTTCCCGATAAAGGAACACCTCCATCTTTCAGCACTCCTACAAGGTGAGTTTTCTTTGCTGCTTCTACAAGCCGACTTCCTCCACCCACAGTAACGAAGTCCGTCCGTTTTTGTCGTCCTCAGAGCTCAGACTCCCGTGTTTCAGTTCCCGTTTATGAACGGATTGTCACTACAGTCACCCAGACGGTGACTGAAGAACTCTGGAGACGAGTTCGTCACGTCTGAAATTAGTCACACAGACCGTTAGCAGAGTTCTGCTTCTTTCAACAACAACAACAAAAAATCTGTTCCTTTACCGCGTTTGTTTTCCTGTTGCCATTTTGAGAAATTTAATTAAAACACTGAAACTTTTTTGTATTTGTGTTTCTGAAAACATCCCAACAGATCGTTATGAAATAAGTTTTACAGATTAATTTCCAGGTCGCACAAATATTTTTAAATCGAGGTTCATCGTAACACACACACAAATAAATAATCTAGACTGGGTTACAAAGGAAACTCTTTTACTCATTTCCAGTGACACAGTTGTGCAAATCAGATTTTCTTTTTCGTTTCAAAACAAAAATCAACTGAAAACGTCAACAAAGACAAAAATGCATGTCAGCTTATCCCCACAGCATGACGCTCACATTCCCGTGTCATGACCAAGAGGGGAATTTAACAGTGATGCACGCCGTTTAGTCAAGTTTCTGGTATCTTCACCTTCGTCTGGACATTTCCAAAGAGCTAACATCCGACTCCATTTAAAGTCCACGTCACAGACGTTTAGTTTCCACACAAACCGATGCCCTGAATATAGTGTTGCACCACCAGTCACTGTTTAAATTAGAGAGCTGGAACCAAAATCTTTGGATTTTAATTTATTTCTATACAAACGTGGACATCCCTGTGTAGTCCGTCAGTTTGTCTAAATCATAATCGAAGTTACACCCTACATTTTTCAGAACACAAAGAGAAACTCACTGGTTCAAGAACTAAAAAAAGGTAATTCTGGCTGTATAACAAAGACGTAACGTCTAAATTTAACTATTACTGTTCGAAAGGTGCGGCTCAGTGCAAATGACGAGCCAAGCATTCAAATGACAACAGATCGAAGAGTCTTGAAACATCTTTTACAAGTTCACGGTGCATGGATTTTCTGCATCATGCAGTTTTTTTAAATTATAGGCGATTCCAAAGCAACTGAGAATGACACGGTAAGGAATTCAGAACATGTGAAATGTTTGGATATTTGGTGAAAAACACTAACAAAAATAAAAATGAACAGCAGGCTCCAAACCAAAGTGCAAGATGTTAATTTAAATGTCCAGTGTTGTTTGTACGAAAACAAAAGCTGGAAAAGGAATGATGACCCACATCAAACAGTCAGTTTTCTTAAGCAGTAAATCATCTGCTGCAGCCAGTTACCAACGATACAAAAATTAAATTATACTGCTACAAATAATAGTCATAACACTAAACCATAAACAATTGTAGTGATATCTAAACAAGAAAAAATTGACAAAAATATAGCAAACCAGTGTACAAGTTCCTGTCCTACACAGCAACATAGGCAGTACAAATATAATTCAAGTCTAATATATTAGGATAAGCAAGAAATGCAGCATTATTTATATAAAAATACACAAAACTCACTTTGGGCTGTTCTGGGAAGACTGGATTTTACAGACCTGACTGAATTAAAGCAACAAACGGCATGAAGCACTCCCTTAACCTTGTTTTTACGCAACAATGAGTTCTTGGTCAGTCTCCCCGACTTCCTGAGCAGCAAACCAGTCTCGCACCTGCTGGTAACTCATTTTTGATTTCTTGCATAGTAAGTCAAGGTCTTTCTCGTGTAGCGAGCCTGTCGTAAGGTAATACGACACCAAGGGCTGGATATCAGGAGAATCTGTACTTGGTCTACCAGATTTCCGTTTGCGGCTGCCCCCTGCACGAGCGGACGCACCGCTTCCATTCGTCAAACCACCACTGCTTTGCTGAGCAGAAAGTTCTGTTAAGAACTGGTCGCGAACGCCCTTCACCCAACGAAGCTGGCCGTTTTTTACAGCGTACCGCGTGTCGCCAAACCACTGAATAACATCGGCTCTGGGTAAACCCGTGAGCTTAACAAGTTCTGTGTAATGTTCACTTGTGGGCCACTGGGACCTCAAGAAGTGCTGCTTCAACACGTCCAACTGCTCCTTGGTCTTTCTCGGCCGTCCTGCTGGGGTGAGGGCAGGAGACGTAGACGTGGAAGCCCCCGAGAAGCATGTGGGCGTTTGTGAGGGACTGGCTTTGGTTGAATGGACAGACTTCTTTGATGTGCGGATCTTGGGGGAAAGTGGTTTATTGGGCGAGATGGTGGGAGGCGGACTGCTAGAGGGGGAGCAATAGGGAGAAGATTTTAAATCTTGGACATCTGGCTCAGTTGTGAAGCTCTTTGTGAGCTGTAAAGGTTGTTCTTCGTCGTGTTCTTCCTCTTTCAAACTGTCCCCGTCTCCAGAAAGCTCCTCCTTGACTTCCAGCCCTTGTGTCTCGTGGATCCTTTCCCCAAATGCTTCGAGGCTGTTTGACAAAAAAGTCTGAAAGAAGTGGGAATTTCTAATCCCGTTGTTGCGTGGCCCCTCCTGACCTTTCACTCCGTTTACCGGACGAGGTTTTAGACTTGTAAGTGAAAGAGGCTGAGATTGTGGGTCGTGTTTAGCCCCAGCAGCAGTTTGGTGAGAATAGCTCTGAGCTGCTGCCAGGCTTCCTCGACCGACTCTCAGCTGGTAACGGCTGTCACTGAACCATTTGCGGATATCGTTTCGGCTCAGGCCAGTTTCTTCCTGCAAGCGTCTCAGTTCCGTCTCTGCAGGCCAGTTCTCTCTCAGAAAACTTTTACGCAGGGCTGCCAGCTGAGCTTTGGTCTTCTTGTAGCGTCCGTGGCGGTTCTGTCGGGAAGACGACTCCGACAGGTCAAGGGAGACATCAGCTGCTGTACTAGCTGGAGCGTCTGCTGGTGGGCGGTAGAAATATGAATCCTCGGGCGGAGGGAGAGTGGAACTGAAACAGGGGGCCGTCGATCTGTAGGAATCTGTAGACTGACATTTGGATTTCTTGGTTGGGGGAGCAAAGCTAGTGAGAGCAGCGTCCTCTTCATCACTGTCCTTTTCCTCATTTACATATTCATCTGAATTTGTGCTCTTCAGTTTAGCCTCGTTTGTTTCAGCTGAGTCGTCACAAAGCTCAGGCACCGCCAGCTTCTTCCTCGTCTCCTCGATTTCCTCTGAAGACCAGCTAATCCCATATTTAATTCTCTGCACCATGAACCACACTTTGACTTTGTCCAGTGGCAAGGCACATACTCGGGCCAGCGTACTGACCTCCTTGGACGATGGGTATGGAAACAAGTTAAAAGCACGGACCAGATCTGGGATATCGTCAAGTTCCCGGGTCTGATCGGACTGCGTCCACACTAGCTTGAGTCCCTCCGAGACCAGGGGCAGGCACACAACAGAGTTGTGGTTGGTGGTGAAACTCGTCACGCCGCTCGTGTTGCTTTCGTCCGAGTTGGACGAGTAGTGCAGTTTCTCAGAAGAGCTCTCTTTTCCATATTCAGTCGCTGTCTCGTCAATTTCAAGGGGTTCATCTACGTCCACAAGCAGTACGTCTATACCATTATGTTCAGTGAATGATGCCATCTGGGCCATCAAAATAAGCCTTGCCACCTACAAAAGAAACAAAAGGAGCGATAAGAGTTGTGTTTTTGTTTATCTCCGCAGACAAACTGTTTCAGCTTCAAAGATAAGAAGGGCAGTCTCTTCAGGAGACAGCGTCTTCAGAACTTTCGGTTCTTTATTCATTCTCAAAGTATCTGACATCTTTCTCCTCCCTTTTCTTCTCTTCACCCAATACCACCAATAAAGCTGGTCGTATGTGCTGTCCAGGCTGACTCTCCCCTCCCCCAGTGTGCGCTGAATGACTTTTGTTTTGCATGAGTTGGAGGGAAGGGGGGGGGGGGGGATTGATCCCAAAAGGGTGGGAGAGCAGAGAACCAAAATCTACAAGGAATCCATCACTGTCTACTTTCTCACCCGTCCTGGTCCGGCTTTGTTTCACTTCCAAGTTCTCAGTCTTGAAATATTTGCGTGGCCGCTTTCCAAAAGGACACCACGACCGAAACCTGCAGTAAAAGAAAATAGATGTTTTAAACGTTTTTATTAATAGCCACAATAAAAACTTTAAGCAACAGGTGCTACAAACAACACAAAACAGAACACGCTGAATATTTATACAGTTACACGTCTTCTATTTTTGTATTTTGTCAGGGTCCTAACAAACAAAACATTGTGTTTAGTTGGAAGGTTCCTCCATGACTAAAGCCGGCCATATAAGTAGCTTTAATCACGACTGAAATGTTTTGAGCAACACAAACATTATCCAACTTATCACAGAGTTAGTCACTGGTGACATATTTAACCCCTTAAAGGAGAGCTCAGAGTCTGCTTTTGTAAGTTATACTGGATAATTTGGTTACAGCCTTGAATTGAACTAATAAAACCTTTAAAAGTTGAGTCAATGTTAACAAAAGCTGTCCAGTGAGCGTCCCCCCCGCTTTGTGGCGTACTAACTAAAAGGCTCGGTCCGCGCATGCGCACTGCGTCCTTGGACACGCTTCACTAAAACGCTAAAATAAACTTACCCAAAACGCCAAAATATCGCTTTATCCCAAGCGTCCGCGTAGACGAGACGAAAACCTCCAGGAACTCAGAGCTCAGCCTCTCCGTCCTGCGTCCATGTGTGGCCGAAGTTTTGGTTGTGGACCGAGGGAACAATGCCGTCCATCTGTTTGACCCTTGTCTTATTTATCAGCTTCCCGACGGATTATGGTCAGGATTCAAGTTTGTCCTCCGTCGTTAGTTCAGTCGCCGGCTAATTCTCACCAAGGACACAAATACCTAACCCCGGAGCTCAGAAATGGGGGCCGAGTCGCCGTTTTCCAGTCCTCCCACTCGGTCAGTCCGTCGCCGCTTTTGTTCTTTAAGAGTTCCCCCTGTCCGGCCAGATCGGCGCGAGGCGGAGCTGAGGACCAGGAAGCCCAGGAGGCCCACATGACTCTCCCCCTCGGTGACGGCTGGGTGGGTGTGCCAGGCTGGGTGAGGAGGCCGTGGATTGGAGGGAGCGAGCCAAAAACCGGGATTATAATCCGTTACAGAAGGCCAATGTTAACTATCCAGCAGCAAGCGGCCCATGTTAGCAGTCCCCGCTAAACTGGAGCGCCTCCACTAACCAACGAGGACTTCTCTGTGGGGGGACTCCTCTTGTACCCAAGAACTCTTTGTAGCAAGGAGAGTAAACCGAGTTGTTTTATTTACTACAGCCACAACCTGAGACAAACTCACTCAAATATGAAACATGCGGTTAGGACAGAAAGTTAATCCCACTAAATTATTTAAAACTGATCTATGAGCCTTTTGGTTGCAAAGTTAAAATCCAGGCTCAAATGGAAACTGGTTGTTAAAATTTTGTGTAATTTTCAGTTGTAAACAATAAATGTACATTTACATTCAGCATGGTCTCGGTACATGTAAAACACACACTGCAGTTATACTAGTAATTAACTCGTTTTTTAATGCCATATATCTGTTAGTGGCTGTAAGAAACTCAAGACGTTTACATTTTTTTGCAAAAGGGGCCAAAGTAAGTACAAGGCACATGCACAAAATGTAGTGGAAAATAAAATTACAACTGTGGTAAACGACGCCACATTTTTTGGCATTCTATGATAATATGATTGGGTACACGGAGGATGGTGCCACAAAGAATAATGCAACTCCAGCATTTGCTGCGACTGCCCACAAAACAAAAGCTAAAGTTTTAAAAAGGCTAACACGGAAAGCTAAAACACATGTTCTACTGGGTTTTGGGAACCCTCAAAGTTTTCTGTCAAATCTGGTTGCTGGTAGTGTGACTGATAGGATTCGACAGGTTCGTTGCCCTTCCAAATACAGCATCTTCCTACCTCAACTATTATACAAATACAACACATTAAAGAGTAATATAATATAAACTTGTTAAAATCACATTCTGAGTCTTCTTCGGCTGATTGTAGTGCTTTTATAAAAACAAAAGCTTTCTTACAGCCTTCTTCATGTTCACCTTTAAAACACAACCAAATGATTTATAGACCATTAAATACTCCAAGAAGAATGTAAACGTGTGTTCACCACGGAGTCACAAAAATATAGTGTTATGTGTAAATTCCTGTTGCTCTTCGGAAGTTAATGATGGCGGTGTTCTTAAAACACAGAAATTATAATTCTGAGGTTTGAGAACGATGTGGGAGCTGTTTAGAAGCGTCCGTTTGCCAGAGTGAGCATGAAGCGAGGAAGGCGTAGGAACGGTGGGACGACCGCCGACAGCCAGGAGAGGTACGGGACCTGGGTCAGGAGGAACTTCAGGGACGTGTAGTCAGTTACGGTACGACCTGGAAACAGATTCACAGTTTACCTTCGTACAGATCAAGTTAAAACCTGCACTGATCAGCAGCAGCACCATGACCAAACTACAAACTCCTCAGATAAACATCGGATGGATCTGTGGGAAATGAGCCTAATCCTTAAAGCAGAGGTTCTCAAGCTGGGGTCCCAGGACCCCCAGGGACACACAAAAGAAAATTACAAGAAATTATTAGTTATGTCATATCATTTTAAAAAGTCCATAAATACATGTCAAGTACCAATGAACCAGTAATTTGTGAGAGGCGGGGGCCACCCTGTCCAGGTCTCCAGTCCATCACAGGGACACACAGAGACAAACAACCATTCACTCTCTCACTCACACCTAGGGACAATTTAGAGTTACCAATCAGCCTAACATGCATGTTTTTGATCTGTGGGAGGAAACTGGAGTACCTGGAGAAAACCCACGCATGCACGGAGAGAACATGCAAACTCCACCCAGAAAGACCCCTGGACTGGGATCTGAGCCGGCAACCTTCTCGCTGAGAGGCAGCAGCTCTACCAACTAATCAACATGCGTTTACCAAAAATAAATAAATCCCCATGACATTTAGGAGTTAAAATGAAAGTAAATTATTTTTATTCATCAAGAGGTTTATGAGGGAGTCCCTGGAGATTTTTCTCCACTGTAAGGTCCTCAAACCCAAAAACATTGAGAAACCCTGCTTTAAAGGGATAATATGTACCTAGTACCTAGATAGTATGCAGGGATAGTACCTCACTGCCAGCAGAAGCACTCTGCTAACAGGACCGTGCTGCTGTAGATGTTTTTCTTTTTTACTTTTGGCACTTTGTTTTTGTATTTTTGTTGCATGCTTTAGTATTTGTTGTTGCTGATTATTGTGTCGAGTTGAAACGGTTCTCCTCATCCTGAGCATTTCACTACATTGTTGACCGTGTGTTGATTTTGTATTTGACAAATAAACCTAAACCTGAACCTGTGCGATCATTTTAGAAGTGACGTTCTGTGTTACGGCTCCTTTTTTGTGTGATAGTGCACTGGTCCACCTGATCAAAATGTCCAAAATTACGAGTTAACGTTGTGTTTCACACAGTTATGACATTTTTGAGGATTTTATAAGCCTGAAAAACATCCTGAAACAGAATGTAGTTTAGCTAGCCTTTAGCCTGGAGGATGACGTAAACCATCACTTCAAAAACGGCCAGACTATCTCTTTAAAGACCCACCACAAAATCCACAAGGCCCATAAGGTCTACCTCTAACCAAACACATGCATGTACTTTGCATGAACATATATTCTCTCTTAGGGAGTCCTGTTAAATGTTTGATTGGTCATAATGTTTTGGCCATCTGTGTATACAGTATTCTTTTAATTTTAATGTGAAAAGGAAACACATATTCACCATCAACGTCGTTAAATCCGTAGCGCCTGGCCAGGTCACATGTCATGAGCACCTTCCCGCTGAGGTCCATCAGTCTTTTATCTTTCAGGAAGAAACAGAAGTTGAAAAAATCTTTTACGTTTTTAAATTAGGACTTCTTCCTAAAACAATTATCAATGACTGGAGCTGAGGTTTCACCCTCGGAAGACTTTGTGGGGGGAAGAAAAAAAATCAGCCACATATTTATTTTGTCCATGTTTTTATTTATTAATTTGTTTTGGTGCCGTCATAAGCACATTTTATTCTGACAAAGCCTAAAATCCAACTATTTTTAAAAATTGTGTCAAGAGTTTTTTTCCACTGCTCTCATAACCTCACAGTAACTTTACCACACTCTGGTGTTCCTGAGGGGAAATCATTCACATTAAAATACACTGAAAACAACTTTTTATCAGATCATTAAATAATGCATCCTTCTCAGTGATGGTTGTTTGTCAGAGAAAAGTTATGAATATTTTTATTATTGTGGCTGAGAACATATTTCCCTCTGCCCTGAGAACAAGCAGCTCGGTTGTCTCTAAAAACACTTATCTGGAACTGAAGGCCTGCTCGTGACGTCTCTGATGCCCGTAAACCGTATTTGTGCAAAGAGTTGTGGTGAAACGTGCAGCTGGCTTCAAGTACGCCCACTGAACGACACTAAACTCCACTGAGCTGCTAACGTTATAAAAGTCAGCAGACGACACAGTTTGCTGCTCATTTCCTTCATCGTATGCCTTCATGTGTGTAACCTGTCCTAAACGAGTTGTGAGCGTGGTTCTTTTGAGTAAACAACGGTAGTGAACGAGAGAATTTCTCCAACATTTTTCTTTTTACCTCTACCTCTGTACTTTAGATTTTTATATTAGCTCACTGGGTGCTGCTCAGAGTTCTATTTCGTATAGGCTTCGCCCTTTAAGGCTGTCGCTAGTGGGTTTTATCCCGTCATGCAAAGCATCGCACTGAAAAAATTTAGTCCACGCCCACCTGTTGTGTGGGCCCCATCTGGTCCGTATAAATTACGTTAAGAGCGGGTAATCAGCTCACATTTTTCTTCAGCAAGCTAATAGCACTGTCAGAAGAACAAAGAAGGGAAGTTGTCCAGCTTGACCAGCACAACCTTTGTTAAGGCTGCCTGTGGTCCCGCCACGCCAATCTCCTGCCGTTCCAGTGAGTTCTCCTCCCCGAGGAGAAGCAGATGAGCAGTCTTGTTTCAAGGTAAGCGCCAAGGAATATTTCTCAGTGGCAGGTCACTACACGCTGGACGACGCCATCTTTTAGTTTTCCTTTTATCGCCGACTCTCGGAGCAAATCGGATGGTTCCTCCGGGACAGGCGACGTCAGCAGCAGCCCCCACTACTCACTCCCTCCTGGAGAGCGTAGTGTCGGAACGAGGGGGCTGAGCGAGTGCACGTACAGCTTCTCAGAGGCCAGAGGGACAGACCTGCCTGAGGAGACAAGAGCTCCCTCTGCAGGGCGTCTGACGTCATCCTCAACCCGTGTGCCTCGTCTGTTGTCCCCCCTCCCTGTCGGAGAAGCGGACGTGCTGTTCGGAGCCAATTTTCAAGGACATGCTCGAGAAATCGAAAAAGCCGGAGGAGGTGTTGGAGACTGTGCGCCATCTGGCCAAGCCGCACGCCTCATCCCGGCCCCCGGCCCACTGGAAGGCTCGTCGTGGCTAAAGGCAGCAAACAGAGATGTTCCACAGCTGCAGCAGCATCCTCCCGCTCCGCCGCCAGCCCTGCCCATCAAAGAACAGCCCTTCTCATCCCGGCAACCGGCAGTTCAGCGTTTCCCAGAGATCGCCAACAGGTGATGCCCTGGGACAACAAACCGCAGGGCTCACTGGGGAGAAGATTCAGGAATTACTCCTTGTGGGGGATGTGTGTGTGCAATGATGACAGGAGTTTTGAAATAAAACACGAACATCATTCAAAGATTAAAGTGTCTGATACAGCCGGTCTGTCAGTTCGAATGATCTCACAGCGGCTTCTCCTCACACATCCTCCACACAAACGAGCCGGTGTCCTTAAAACAGGTTTTTCAAAATCACCACAGCTCAAAGATAAACACGAGACGCTCGCATGACACAGCAGTCGAAAGTGAATGTGGTCCGCAGAACGAGTCCAGTGGGATAACTCGCTCTCAGCCCGAATTGCACGCTTTTCACCGCAGCAGTGTCAAAGGTGCACTCCCGCGACGCCGGCAGCCTTCACCCAAACGGCGCTGCATTGTTGAAGGCGCGCACACCTCTCCCCAGCACACGCCGGCTCGCATCAGCATGAATGTGAGACCGCAGAACGAGTCCAGTGGGAAATCTCGCTCTCAGCAGAAGCTGCACGCTTCTCACCACAGCGGAGTCAAACGCACGCTCTCACGGCTCCGGCAGGTTTCACCCATCAACAGCACCGCGTTGATGAAGGAGCGCACACCTCTCCTCAACACACGCCGGTTCACATCGACATGAATGTGAACCTGCAGCCTGAGCGTGGCACAGAAGTGCACTCAGAGCCCTTTCAAGAAAGCCTCGCCTTGGGTCACGCGGAACACACTTCCGCGATGCAAAACGGCGGTCGAGGCTGTAAACTGGCTGACGTCCGTAAGAAACATAGACACACCACATAAACGCGCGCCCACTCCACGAATGTTACGCGGAGTGGCATCTGACGTGCTCTCTAGACAGATGGATGAGCAGGCTGATCAACAGGGGTTATATGCTACAATTTGCAGCTCAACCCCCTCTGTTCGGAGGAGTTTTAGAGACGGTTCTGTCATCCCCAGACCAGGTCTCATCCCTAACGCAGAAGTCCAGGAACTTCTGGTAAAAGAGGTAATTTCCAGGGTTCCCGACCTTCCCACCTTCCCTCAGCGCACGCCAGCTCACATCAGCATGGATGTGAGCCCGCAGCCTGTGCGCGGCATAGGAACGCCGCACACCCGCTGCAGTCCTTAACCGGTTCTGCATGCTCGGGGCGCGCGCACCTTCCCTCAGCTCACATCAGCATGGATGTGAGCCCACAGCCTGTGCACGGCAGAGGAAAGCCGCGCACCCGCGACAGTCCTAAACCAGTTCCGCATGCTTGGGGAGCGCGCACCTTCCCTCAACGCACGCCAGCTCACAACAGCACGGATATAAGCCCGCAGCCTGAGTGAGACACACATGACGGCGGTGATTGGCATCCGTAAATAACGTGACGCAGCATAAACTCGTGCCCGCTTCCCAAACATTACGCAGAGTGGCAACGAGTGTGCACTCCAGATAGATGGATGAACCATTTATCAGCAGGGGATTCACGCTGCAGCACTGCTCAAACCCCCTTTCGGAAGAACTCTAGAGAAGTTTTCTGTCATCTCTAGAACAGATCTCGTTCCCCCTCGCAGAAGCTCAGGAAATTCTGATTAAAATGTAGTTTCCAGGGTCCCAGAAGGAGAGAAAAACACAGGGTTCCACTCTCGTCACTTCCTGGTCCCAAACGGACCGGAAGGATTTGATTCATATTAGATTTGTCAATTTTGAACTGTAAGACAACATTTCCATTTAAAATGCGTCTAGTCGCTCTGCAGCCGCCACACAGAGCAGGGAGGAGAATTCTGCTTTATCTGGACATCTGTTAATGCTGACCCACTTTTCCAGACAGGTGGCAGCAGTGCAACTCACGTGAAACCAGCAGAGTGATAACAGCTGTTTCCATCAGCAGACTTACATCACACGTCTCAGACTTCACAGAGGCACATACATTTCTCGAGCTGTGGGGGCGCTGTGGCCACCCCACACAGCAACTCATAAATGTTTTTAGAGTGTCAGGGGTTTCTGAATGTGATTCAACACTTTGCCTCTGTGCTGCGGAATCATCATGTGTTGACTCACACAGATAGCAAGTGACTGCTGCATACATAACCGGCAAGGGAGGGTGCGCGCTCAGCCCAAATGTTACACATTGTGAGACAGTTGCTGTGTTGGGCACACCAAAATCTGCTCTCCATCAGAGCAGTGTACATCCCCGGTGTTCTGAACAGGGGGCGGATGTGATGTCCAGGGACGGTCCGCGTCACGGGGACTGGACCCTCCATCCAAAGCTGATGGCTCAGACTTGGCAGAAATTTAGCAAAGCGGCTGTGGACCTGTTTGCAACACGAGAGAACGCTCAGTTTCAACTATGGTTCTCACTGAGCCCGCGGGATGAACCACTGCTAGGGGTGGACGCGTTTGCTCACAGCCTATGGCCCAAAATGCTTCTTTACGCACGTCTCCCACTCCCTCTGATATCACGGTTTCTGAACAGAGTTCAGGAGGAGGGACTGACAGCTCTCCTGGTGGATCCCGAGCACGTGAACGCCCCAGTCCCAGTTCTACAACACCTGTTATCGGGGCACCTGTGGAAACTGTCGTGGAGGGAGGATGCTCTCCTTCAGGTGGGAGGAGCGATCAGGAGTTACCCAGAAATAGGCCAGCACCTTTGGGTCTGGCCGCTGAGCGGATCCGCTTAGAGAGGATGGGTCTCTCTCAAGATGTGATATAGAAATTATTATTTTAATGCTTTTATGTCAATCTAGACCTATATTACACTTATTTAAACACACTTATACTCACTTTTGATGCAGCTTATCTGCTTATTCAGTCATTCCTGTGCTGCAGATGTGTTTTGAAGTAATTAAAGTTCTCTGGGGATGCTCTAGCCAGAAGATTGGGGCCCAATCTTAAGGTTACAGTGACCCAGGTTTTGAAGGACATGTTTATGAAACCATCGCTCTGTTGCACAGACTACTTTGATGAAGGAAAAACAGATTTAATTAAATCTGTTCTCCTGGCAATCATCAAAACTTGCTTTGATCTGCTCTCACGCGATCAGGGAAGCCTTTATAAGAAATGTATCAGACAACAGAGAGTTGGGAGTCCGGTGTGGATCAGCCGCGCGCTGATGCCATGCGCCATTTTGATGTGATTCTTTTTACCTGGGTCGAAAACGACTTCCCGGCCAGTGTCACGGTGAGAAGTTATTTCATATCAATCTGTGTGTTAAGAGTGTACATGTTTTTTGCTTGGCTGTTCTCTGTGGCAGGATAATAAAGGACACTAATTTATCCTAGCAGTTGACAGCTTCTGTTTATTTTTCCCTATTTGTCTGAATAATCTGTGCCGACCGTTCAACGAGCCCTTTTGATAAAGAATTTCATAATACAAGATGTAGTGCGCACAATCTAGGATTCACGTGCTGCATCCACCACAGCGCTGTACACATCAAAGTGGACAGCTTTTCAGTGCTGGTTTACGGAGGAAGGTGTAGAGACCACCTCGTGTCCACTAGGTAGCGTGCTGTCCTGTCTGCAGCAACTGATGGACAGAAATCTGGCATTCAGCATGATTAAAACGTACGCTGCAGCCACCTCTTCCTGTCACGAAGGTTTCGGGGACAGAACAGCTTTTAATCATCCGCTGATGAAGCGTTTTTTAAAAGGTGTACAGGGACGCAGGCCTGTTTCACGCCTACTTGCTCCACAGTGGGATTTAACGTTGGTTCTGCGAGCCCTGATCAAAGCTCCATTTGAGCCACTGAATCAGGTTCCAATTAAATTCTTGTCTCTTAAAACAGCCCTGCTGCTGGCTTTAACATCCGCTAAGAGGGTGAGTGATGTATCTGCCCTCTCTGTCGCTCCGTCATGTCTCAGAATTCAGGCTGATGACAGCTCAGCTGATCTGAGACCTAACCCAGCGTTCATGCCTAAAAACATCACGAGCTCTTTTAAATCAAGAGCGATATCGCTGGAGGGTTTTTTCCCCTCCCCCCACAAATCAGAAGAAGAAGCATCTTTCCATCTTCTCTATCCTGTGCGGGCGTTGATGTGCTACATAGCACGCACGGCCGCAATGCGTGAGATTCAACATTTGTTTGTGCATTATAGAGATGCATCTGCAGGTCGCCTGTTATCCACCCAGCGCTTGTCACACTGGCTGTGTGAGGCCATTTCTGAAGCCTACAGAGCATCAAATTTAGAGCCTCCTGATAACCTCAGGGCGCACTCGGCCAGAGGTATCGCATCTTCGACTGCTTTGTATAATATTATGACAATGCAGGATATTTGCACTGCGGCCACGTGGTCAACACCCTGCTCATTCATTCGCTTTTATCTACGTGATGTAACGGCTCGTTCCATGACACATTCTGTCCTTAGTGTTTTAACAGAATGAATATTGTTGTTTCATGGAACTCTGTTTAAGCTCACATCTGTCTGCATGCATTTACAGTGTGTGATGTTGTTATCAGTCACAAGTTGTGACTGTTGTTCTTGTTCTATTGTCACTAATCAGTTCATGACTATTGTTACCAATCAGTTTATTTGATTAATAATCAGTTCACTTGTTATTATTAATCTGTTCATATTGATCAGCCGTGAATCTGTTTGGTTCACAGCCTTTTTTCAGCATCTTCCTTTTCCTGTTGAAAGCTTTTCCGGGGCGTTCATGCACTCAGAACGCATAGCTACACAGCACGCGTCTGTGCATGGTACGCACAATTACGCAACGTGTAATTACACACATGGAGAGCTGAGTGACAAGACGTTTTTGGGCAAGCTGCTGCTTCGTATGGTGTTTGAATGGACCCAGTGAGGCAAGGACTACATCTGCTTTGCCCTTAACCAACTAAGCGACAGCTCTTAAAGGGCGAAGCTTATACAAAATAGAACGTTGGTTACGTACTGTAACCCCAGATTCTATGAGTATAGGCGTAGCCCTTTAAGCGTCGGGCCTCACTGGCTCCTAAATGGCTGAAGAAAAAGCTATTTGGGAGCCGATTACCCGCTCTTAACGTAATTTATACGGACCGGGTGGGGCCCACACAACAGGTGGGCGTGAACTAAATTTTTTCAGTGCGATGCTTTGCATGACGGGATAAAACCCATTGGCGACAGCCTTAAAGGGCTACGCCTATACTCATAGAATCTGGGGTTACAGTACGTAACCAACGTTTCTCACTCTTGAAACAGCTGCAGAGTTTCACCTCTCCTCCCACAAAATTGTTTTAGTCTGGGTGTAAAAAGCTAAAACTCACTTGTAATGTACACAAGTAAACATTAGTTTGAAAAAGCTGTTTTGCATGCAGACTGCAGAATCGGATGCTCCACGTCTGACTGCAGCTTCCCTGAAAGCAGGGGGTCATCAGCAGGTGCAACATGCTCCTGCAGCTAACTAGTGTATATCTGGATCAGTACAAGCAAAAAAACTATTTAGAAACTATCCTTCTTACCAAGGGTAGAGTTTTAAAATATTATTTTATTTAAAAATGAAAAAAAAAATGATTAAAAAAAACCCCTCCATGTTCAGCCTTTGAGTGACATGTGTAGGTTGGACTGAAAACAATTGGTCTCATTGGCCTCTACCAGATCTGAAGGGTCCGATGGGCCGGAGGGTCTTCACAAAACTCTGGACCGGAATTTTGAAAGAAATCACTTTGGGTGTACTAAGGAGGAAAATGCAAATATACAGTGTATATGCATGTATACAGTGCACACACACACACATATACATTTCCATTTCCATCCAGTGTTGCATTAATTTTTCACTAAGATCTTGCATTGATGACTTGGCTCTAGGCATGATGGGTGCATCACTTCACCTGCCTCTCTTCTTACCCTGATGCGCCCATCACTCTGGAACAGGGTAAATCTGGACTCATCAGACCACATGACCTTCTTCCATTGCTCCAGAGTCCAATCTTTATGCTCCCTAGCAAACTGAAGCCTTTTTTCCGGTTAGCTTCACTGATTAGTAGTTTTCTTAAGGCTGTTCAGTCCCAGTCCCTTGAGTTCCCTTCATATTGTGCGTGTGGAAATGCTCTTACTTTCACTATTAAACATAGCCCTGAGTGCTCCTGTTGTTTTTCTTCTATTTGATTTTACCAAACGTTTAAGTGATCGCTGATCATGGTCATTCAGGATTTTTTTTCCGCCACATTTCTTCCTCGAAGATGATGGGTCCCCACTATCCTTCCAGTTTTTAATAATGCGTTGGACAGTTCTTAACCCAATTTTAGTAGTTTCTACAATCTCCTTAGACGTTGTCTCTGCTTGATGCATGCCAATGATTCAACCCTTATCAAACAGACTGACATATTTTCCCCGACCACGCAATGTGTCTTTCCACGTGGTTGTTTAAGAAATGAGAAGCAACTCGTTGCACCAGTTGAGGTTAAATAACTTGTTGCGCTGAAAGATAATTGCCCATGCAGTAATGATCCAACAGGAGGCTCGTACCTATTTGCTTAGTTAAATCCAGGTGGTGGCTTTTTTTGGGGGCCAGGCAGTGTATATATAATTCAAATATTGCCATAAAATAAATATTTGTTGATTTTTTTAAAAACCTGAAATGTGGAGATTATTTTAAACAAAAGACCCTTAAAAAGTTAAAATTCAATAAAAGTAATTTAAATTTGATATGTTTATTTCAGATGAAATAGCTCTAAAAGACTGACTAGCTTATTGTAGAAAACATATATAAAAGTTGATTTTCCCCTAAGGAACACAAACTGTCATAAAGTTAAAGGGTTTTCCAGGAGTAAATGATGCAACAGCCTGTTCAAACCTTTTGCTAAGTTGACAATGCACCTCCCACTGAGTTCTGTGGTTTCTCCAATAGAAAATAAATCTTTGACCTGCAGAGAGACAAACCCAGAGGTACAACTTTAGTAGCCATTCTACCCAGTAGATGGAGATGTTTTTAAAACACGTCTACCTGGGGATTCACACCATCTTTCTCCAAGATGAGCTGAGATATTAACTCAGTTTGAACGGCTCCCGGCCACAGGCTGACTGAAGCAACGCCCCTACTTTTCAGCTCAACGGCCATGTCAGCTGCCAGCCTGTCGCACTGGAAACAGACCACAACAAGAACAGGTCCGTAATTATGAGGGAAAGATCAAATTAGAGATTAGGCGAGCAACTTACCGCAGCTTTCCCAACCCCATAAGCTACGTTGAAGATGTATCGGAGCCCACCAAGAGAGGAAATGGTCACGATCAAACCGTGACCTTGAGCCACCATCAGCCGAGCGCCATAAACAGAGAAAAAGTAGTGACCTCTACCAGAAGAGAAAAACATGTTTGTTAAGCAAGTTAAAGAAATAACTTGTGTTTTTCACATCACTTAGTTTAACTCGCATTAGATTATCTTAAGAGCCGAATCCAAAACAACAAGCAGTACTCAAACGTCCCCCGTCTGTGAGCGATTTGAAAACAGTAGTCCCTCGCTACTTAACGGTTGGCTTTCACAGACTCGCTCTAACCCGGTTTGTTGATGTACAGTTCATAATATTGTATAAAAAAAATTGGTACAGGACACGATTGTCAACTTTAATATTACTCAGGTGATTGGGACAGTACTGGATATTTCTTTCTGGAAGCCTCCACAGTATTCCCGCTCATAATCACCACATTTCCCAGAAGGCAACAGGGCTCTGCCCAGAAGCCCCGTTTCCTTCTGCTGAAAAATTAGAGGTAAAGTTTTGATCTGATCGGTGTCCAGCAGATGCAGAGAAGCCACATTGAACCGACCGAACTGGATCAGAACCAGACCTCCAGACCCATTGGTGACTCATGAGAGCTGGTAGCCGGCCCACAAGGACTTCTAAGTGCAGACGCACGCCGAAGGTCCGGAGCCGTTTTCGTAGCCCATCAGTACTTTTTCATCCAGACTTGGACTCAATTCGACCACCTTCAGTCCCACGTCAGCCAACAGAATGTCTGCCCTCCCCAATGCGCTTTGATGCTCAAGAGCTGCAATGAACTGGACCAGACCTGGACCTCCAGACTCAGCGGTGAACCCGAGAGCTCCGGGGACACCCTGGTAAGTAAAGTTAGTAGCTACATATAAGCATGTTGTTAAGTTAGTAGGTTTAAGAGTTTAGAAGAGTGACTGTGGACTTTGTTGCTGCAGGGTAGGTTTACAGAAAAGAAACGAGTCGGACCAGAACAGAGTCGGACCGGAAGAGAGCTGCTGCTGTTCTGCAGAGCCTGGTGGGTAAAATTTAGTAGCTACATATAAAGTACTATATGTATGTTGTTAACATGATGTAGAGTTTAAAAGTTTAGAACATTGCAAGAGTGTGGGAAGGGTTTCTAAAGCCTTAAACTATATATACACATACTAAAATAAAATAAATATAACGTCGCTACTTCGCCGGGGGTTAGGTTCCGTGATAAATGAGAGACTACTGTACTGAATGTTTGTAGTTTTGGAGAAGAGTGTTTTTCTGGACTGGAATTGAACAGAGAATATAAATATGGTAAACCTTAATGTTTTTAATGCAAAACATTCAAGTGGGTAGAAGTTACAGTGTGAAGAAGAACAGAGTGACGGATCCTGGAGAGTGACATTTTATCCACCTCCAAGAGTAATGGAGGAGCCAGAGGGTGGCCAATGGTGGCCTTGGCCCCCATAGATTAATGTTTGGCCACCCCAGTCATGTCATTCAAGGAAACTAAACTTTTAAGCAACATAAAAACTACAAATCATAGTTTCTTTAAAAGATGTGTTGGTCAGTTCTCTCTCTCTCTCTCTCTCACACACACACACACACACACACACACAAACACACACACACACACACATATATACGTACGTATGGCCTGACACAATAAAGTCTTTGTGGATTTATTACAGCATTGCTGATTAAAAATCCAAGCGTACCGAAGGCCTGTGTTGTTGATGGAATCCCAAATAGATGGATCAGTTTCCCAGAACTTCTTATCCGTATTGTCGAAGATGTCCTGGAATGACACGAACTGAGCTCAGCACCACAGCGGACGGTCGTTTTCTTTCATTTAAGTGGACTATAACAAACTCTTCCACATCAAAGCCAATGTTGCATGGAGTTGGGTTCACCTGTGAGTGTTGTGTCAACACTTACATGTACTCCTGCGTAGGCGTTGTTGACCAGGATGTCCAGTCTGCCCTTCTCTTCCCGTTTGATCCTTTCAAAGAACGCTTCGATATCGCTGTCTTTTGTGGAATCGCAGACAACCGGCACACACTTCCCACCTCTTTCATTCACCTGTGTTGAGACAGGACAGGACCAGGACAGAACTGGAACCTCTGCCGTGTTGTCAGAAACAAAAACTAAATATAGGCACCAATTTGTCTTTGTAGCAACGCATCTAACCAAACTGATCCCATGTCTGTAATTATTTAGCTTTCTAAATGTCCCTTTCCTTCAGTTTTTACCTGTGCAGCAGTTTGCACGAGGGTCTTCTCCTGGCGTCCTGTGATGTACACAGTAGCTCCTGCCTCAGACAGCTGCAGAGCAATGCCCTTCCCGATGCCCCTGGAGGCACCTGTGACCACACACACCCAGCCAGACAGGGACATCTTCCCTGAGGTTGGAAAGAACACCACAGACAGCAGACTTTCAGCCCAGAGTCCTTGGAACGGCTTAAGATATGAGAGAAGTGTTAAAGATTAATGAAGCTGAAACACTAGACTTGATAAACAAGTATAAATCTTTGCAAAAATGCCATCGCTCTGTTGACACTGACAAGTCAAAGTTCACTATAGGTCTGCAGGGCGGACATTTTACTGAGGAAAACCACTTTGAGTTCACTCACCATTAGTCAGCATGATTTTAAAAAGAGATGGCAATTTACTGCTTTATATATATATATATATATATATATATATATATATATATATATATATATATATATATATCAGAGTTGAGGACTAAATCTACCTACAACACATTACTGCTGAATGTAATAAAGTCGGAGTGAGTTTTAAAATTAGATTGATGTATAATAAACTGATCCACATATTAGACTTTTCCTAAAAAGTAAAACAACAGGTTTGGATTTTAATTTTGTTGCTCCGTTAGCATGAAACAGTTGAAACAGTAATTTACCTTACAGCAGAGAGCGCACCGGATCTGGTTTGTCTAGTCCCAGATTAGTAATCTTCGTAAAGAGCTGGAGATGTGTTCACGCACAGTCGCGTGTTGCTACTGACGCCACCAGCACTTCGCAGGAGTGAACAAACTCCACAATGTTCCCGTGGTTTTTGAAGTATCGCGAGAGTTGGAATATGTAGCGCATTTACGATGCTATCGCGAGATCTTGTTGAAGATCGCGTTTCCAAGTTTCCTGTTTTGTTTATATGCCTAGTGGTAATTAAACTTTTAAAATCATCATACCGAGTTTTAAACAAGAGTCTACTTTAAACTAGATGACTAACTGAAAGTTGACTCGCGTCTTGGCTACCTGATTATACAGAAAGTGAAGGGAACCAAGATGATTTTGGATTTAATTGACTGAACAGCACCAGATGATGGCGGTGTGGATCCCCTAACAATCCTAGACAGCAATCCAAGTCCTGAGATAGAAAACAGTATTAAAACAACTGACTTACTAACACAGACACATAAACAAAAATTATTTAGAAAAAAAAAAGACTTGCATGAGAGTTTTGTAAATTACATACTTGTGAATTGATTCATGAATCCTTTCATAATGTTTCTCTTTCAATGTTTCTGTTTTGTAACTGTTTCAAAAGACATTTTGTGGATTCTAGTTAAATTGTTTGCCATAGTTATGGTAAATCTGCCACTTCTTTAAGCCAAACATCTTCAAATCAAATCCTTCCTAAAAGGCATTCTTCAGTAAACCATAACTTTTCATTTTCACTGTTTTCAGTAAGTGAGGTTAAATTGTTAAAAGGTCTAGACTCTAAAAAATCTGTACGCTCTGATGAACTTCCACCTTATGTCTTAAGGCTGGCCACTCTATCATCGCAGTACCAGTGTCTCACATCTTTAACACGTCCATAAACCAAAAGTCCATTTCAGACACTTGGTAAACAGCCTTTGTTCTTCCTTTGCTGAAGGGAGGTGACCCCACATCACTGAACAACTATCGACCAATCTCTAAACTGCATTTTAGCTAAGATTCTACAAAAACAGATAAACTCTCAAATCAAAAAGTATTTGGACTCATTTAACATCTTACCTCACCTTCAATCTGGTTTCAAGAAACAACACAGCACAACTACTGCTTCACTGAAGGTTTTTAATGACATTGATGAAGCACTGGAGGCTAAGGATTATTGTGCTGCAATTTTCTTAGACCTGTTTTGACACCGTGGATCATAACATCTTGTGTCATAAGCTCTCAGAAATTGGTTTCTCAGATCACACCTTTGGTTGTTTTCTCTAACTATCTTTCAGATTGGAGGCAATGTGTTCAACATAATGGTATTTCCTCCAGTTATTTAACGATCAACAATGGTGTACAACATGGCTCAGTCTTAGGACCCACCCTCTTTACAATCTACATTGGTAATGTAGGTCAGAGCATCCTTACATTTCTATGCTGATGACACAGTTGTTTATTGTCAAGCTAAAACAGTTGCTAAGGTTTTCCAGCTTTTGCAATCCACATTTGACATAATCCAGTCTGATTTGTTCTGTCTCAAACTTGTACTAAACGCCGACAAAACCAAAGGGATGCTGCTTTCAAACAGGAAGTCGCTCCCAGCAGTTCATTCTTCGATTTTATCCTGAAATCAGAGTCAGTCAGAGAGGCAGAGATTCTTTATTGTCATTCGCACCTCATGTGGTGGAACGAAATTATGTACACAGGGTCCCAGTTACCTCCAACAATAAGATGTAAAAGAAAAACTATGATAACATCCAATATATTAACTAAGAAAAACATCAACTAAATATACACTAAGCACTAATAACATAAAACATCACGTCGAACATCAGCACAAACCTGAACACGAGTCTGTGTGAGCAGATGAGCACGCATAAGCACACCAACATTGAAACAGATCAGCTGCAACATGAAACAGATCAGCAGCAACATGAAACAGATCAGCAGCAACATGATGTGATTTTTCACAGGGATTATCCTGGTTAGAGACTCATGAGTCTAACAGCCTCAGGGTAGAAGCTGTTCCTCAGTCTAGTGGTTCTACACTTAATGCTCCTCAATCTCCTTCCTGAGAGGAGCGGGGCAAAAAGTGTGTGCTGGGTGAGTGGGGTCCTTCATGATGCAGGTGGCCCTCTTCCTGCATCTGGAGGTGTAGATGTCTGTGATGGTGGGGAGACTGACTCCAACAGACTTCTGTGCAGCCTTCACCACTCTCTGCAAAGCTTTTCTTTCTGCAGCTGTGCAGCCTCCATGCCACACATTGATGCTCGAGCACAGGATGCTCTCCACTGCACACCTGTAGAAGGAGGTGAGGACTGAGCTTCCCAGAACAGCTCGCCTCAGCCGTCTGAGGAAGTAGAGTCTCTGATGAGCTTTCTTGATCAGGCTGGTGGTGTTGTTGCTCCAGCTGAGGTTGTCATTCATGTGTACACCCAAGTACTTGTAACTGGAGACCACTTCTACCACAGATCATCTTATGTTCAGGGGGGTGTAGGTGTTTTTGTTCCTTCTGAAGTCCACAATCATCTCCTTTGTCTTCTTCACATTGATGTGAAGGTTATTCTCTTTGCACCAGCTCTCCAGGTGTTCCACCTCCTGCCTGTAGCTGGACTCATCATTGTTTGTGATGCATCCCAGCACCACTGTATCATCTGCAAACTTTACAATGTGACATCCTGGATGGGTAGCTGCACAATCATACAATCAATCAAATACAATCAAATGATGTCCCTATTGAGTTTGTTGATTCCTATAAATATTTGGGTATCTTGGTCGACTCACATCTCTCTTTTAGGCTCACATGAAAAACTTGGTAAAGAAACTGAAAGTTAAACTGGGTTTCTTTTTCAGAAACAGATCCTGTCTAACTCTGAATGCTAGGAAACACCTTGTATCTGTGACTTTCCTTCCCTCCATTGACTACAGTGATATTATTTACATGAATGCTCCTACAAGCACTCTGCAGATGTTGGACGCTGTCTATCATGGTGCGTTATGCACGCACGCATGCATGTACGCAAATTTGCTGATATGTACAGCAGCTCTATAATTGGAGGAACCAAACAGGAAATCTGCACAAACTTTTCATACACGGTCAAGCACAGTGGTGGTGGGGTCATGATTTGTGCTAGTTTTGTAGCTAATGGACCCAGGAACCTTTCAGTCATCGAGTCAACCGTAAGCTTCTCTGTATACCAAAGTATTTTATAATCAGACTGAAAGCAGAAGCTTAGCCCAAACTGAGTCATGAAACAGGAAAATGATCCAAATCACATCTGCAAACCAACAGCAGACCAGCTGAAAAAGAAAAAAATCAAGGATTTGCAGTGCTCCTATGCAGATGTCAAAGCTTCTGAAATGGCTGTGTTTAGGCATTGACAGAGCTGTGTTTGAACAAATTCTTGTTTAACATAATGAACTGAAGCAACAGTATAAAGAAAGGTGGACTAAAATTCCTCCACAACCATGTGAGACACAGATCTTGCAGAAGACACAAAGAGACTAAACCCCTCCATTTCCAACTGGGTACTAGACTTTTTAACAAACAGACCACAGTCAGTGAGGATCCACAACTTCTCTTCCTCCACCATAACCCTCAGCACTGGCTCTCCTCTGGGCTGTGTACTGAGCCCTCTCCTTTTCACTCTGCTCATGTCTGATTGTGCACCCACTCATCCAGGCTGTGATATTATAAAGTTTGCAGATGACACAGTGGTGCTGGGATGCATCACTAACTACAATGAGTCCAGCTACAGGCCGGAGGTGGAACACCTGGAGAGCTGGTGCAAAAAGAACAACCTTCAAATAAATGTGAAGGAGATGATCATGGGCTTCAGAAAGCACAAACACACCTACACCCCCCTGAATATAAGAGGATCTGTGGTGGGGGTGGTCTCCAGCTACAAGTACTTGGGTGTACACATGAATGACAACCTCAGCTGGAGCAACAACACCACCAGCCTGATCAAGAAAGCTCATCAGAGACTCTACTTCCTCAGACGGCTGAGGCGAGCTGGTCTGGGAAGCTCAGTCCTCACCTCCTTCTACAGGTGTGCAGTGGAGAGCATCCTGTGCTCCAGCATCAATGTGTGGCATGGAGGCTGCACAGCTGCAGAAAGAAAAGCTTTGCAGAGAGTGGTGAAGGCTGCACAGAAGTTTGTTGGAATCAGCCTCCCCACCATCACAGACATCTACACCTCAAGATGCAGGAAGAGGGCCACCTGCATCATGAAGGACCCCACTCACCCAGCACACACACTTTTTGCCCTGCTCCCCTCAGGCAGGAGGTTGAGGAGCATTAAGTGTAGAACCACTAGACTGAGGAACAGCTTCTACCCTGAGGCTGTTATAGACTCATAAACCCCTAACTAGAAAGATCACTGTAATGCTACTTGATTGATATGTTTGATTAATATGTGTTGCTGATTATCCATGCTGCTGATCTCATGCTGCTAATTATTTCATGATGCTGTATTCATTCATACTCATCTACTCACACAGGCTCATGTTCGTGCTGCTGTTGTTTGACACATTGTTTTGCACTGTTAGTGTTTAGTGTATATCTTAGTTTATATCTTAGATCCTTATTTACTGTTTCTTTTTTATACTTTACTGTATATTTTTGCTATTGCTGGATGTAATTGGGACCCAGTGTACACAATTTCATTCCACCTCATGTACCACATGTGATGCAAATGACAATAAAACTTACTTGAATTTGAACTTGAAAACAATCACTTCAGGAGTTGTATTTCTAACCGGTTAAATTTTGTGCCAATTCACAATGGCCATTGAAGCTAATTAGCGTTAGCTAATAAAGACATGGCTATATTCAATCAAATTTACAGACTGTAAGATAACAATGGGTGTAGTAGTAGTTTAGAGTCATACTACTACTAAGTAGTAATAAGTCTAATGCTACTATTTGTCAATACTGTACTGTCAAAGCCAATTATGTCATAAACCACTGGTCAGATTTTAATGAAATTGGAAACAAATCAGTGGATGGACATCAACTGCCTGATGTTTGGAATCAACATTTCCAGGTGGACCCAAGCCTGGGTGTGCCTCCGCATTTCA